GGATGGAGCTTCCCAGACCTTTCATGACTCACGGTCCCTACATTACACACGCCTATTTATACCCAAACAAAAAGCAACTACGCCCATATAACATTGCAACCCCCCCCCAGCATGATCAAACATCCACACACAGATGCACACGTGCCACACCCTCCTATACAAAAGGTAGAAACCACAGCACACTCTGGTCCTCCTGCACACTTCACCTACACACACACACACACACACACACACACACACACACACCCACACACACACACACACACACACACACACACACACACCGAAGAACGACATGACTCTCACCTTCCCCCAAACACGGTTCTACCTGCCACCTTCCCATTGCACATTCTCACAAACACTCCTCAGCGCACAATCTCACACCCACAGGCCCGCCTTGCTGGAGCTGGGGAAGTTGCGATGCGCTAGGGGCAGTTAGGAGGAGCTGAGAAAGAGGGGCGTCAGGAAGGAGGGGGAGCACAGTGCTCAATGGTTAAGCGGCACCTTTTTAGCTCCTAGGACTGGGCAGACCCAGGCCAGTTTAGATTGGCTGCGGAGAAAGGTGCGAGATGGGCACGCCGCGGAACGGGAAGGGTTTTGGTGCAGTGTGGTTGGTACTTAGCAACACCAGGTGACTGTACAGACTCCAACCCCCAAGCCTCCGAGAGGCTAATCAGGCGGCTTTGTAGAAAAAGGGACAAAAAGAAGCTCTCCCAGCAGCCAGGAGCTTTGGGAGGGAAAAAAAAAAACAAAAGGAGGGAGGGGGTAGGCAGCTGATTTATGCTTGCACTTCAGCAAATGTTTTCCCTGCCATTAGCCTCGGGAAGACCAGGAGCCAGAGGAAGGGCGCGCGTGGGGGGTGGGGACCTGTGGCTTAAGGAGCTCAGCCTGGGCTTGTCTGGCCGCGGGCTGCAGCGGAGTTCCGATCCTCAGCCTCCAGATTCTACGATCCAGATTTGGCCTGTCAACTAACTCCCTGGGAACAGCTGGCAGTCGGCTTCAGAGTGCCAGTCTTCTCCCAAAAGGCTTGGAGGCGGGGCGGGGGGGGGGGGGCTCACTTGTTGCCCTAGTTCAACAAAATCTCCCAGGTCAAGGGGGAAATCCCCCAGGCTCTGCGCTATTACAGGCGCCAAAAGGGCAGGAGGTGGCGCTCCAGCCCAGACTTCAGGACCCAGCCAATCCGGAGCAAGGTTCCCCGTGCCTTCGGACACAGGCTTCTCCCTGAATGATTCTCATCATGGCACTTTAAATTCCCTCTAAAAGAGAGGGAAAAAGCACAGCCCGCACTTGTTTGGGTTCATTCTGCCTTCACAGCTTTAATGACTCCATTTGTGGAAGCTGTTTAGGAAGCTGGGGGAAAGGCGTTGGAGAAGGATGCCAGGAGGAAGCGCCAGCTCAGGCCTGGCAGCCGCCTTTCCCCTCCCTCTCCCCTGGGGCCATCTGCCTAGGCAGCAGTTTCTCTGGTGGGCTCATGGCCACCAACCTCGAGTCGCAGCCCGGTGGTACCCTGCCCCTTGCCCTTTCCTGCAGACCTTAGAGCTGCAATTTGTCTCCTTTCTACCCCAAAACCTGCTGATCCCCAGGACACTACTGCGACCGGCCAGCCCAAGGGGAAGACTGGGTACTGTTCACTCAGAATCACCAACTTTGCTGTCCAAGCACCTGGGATGGAAGGGCTACAGCTCACCCTGCTTGTCCCCCAAGGTCCAGGACGGTCCATAGTCACCCTAAACATCAGGGTGACTCAGGGAAAGCATGTTGGGGGCCCAAACCTCATCCTAGCCCCGATGGACAGTAATGGAGTCACAGTACCTTTCACCTATGGATTCCACAGCCAAAAGGCGGAAGAAACAGGGTTCCAGGAAGTGTCCCCAACTCTACAAATGAATGTGGCCTTCTACAAGGCTGCCATTTGACCCTGTAGACCAGGAAACTCAGCTGATGACACATGTTTGGCTAAGACCACTATCGGCCATTGGTGTCATTGTGAGCAGCTACCTGGGTCTTGGGGCCTCATCCCTGACCCTAGTCCAGCTGTGTTCTGTTGAACAGGGATCGGGCTCTCCCATCAACTCTCTTTCCCCATTCCTGCTCCAAGTCCAACCTAATCCAACTGTCAAAGTGATCTAATTTAGATGAGGCCTCAGTTTCATTCCGCATCCTGACCCCCAGGGAAACTGTCCAGCCTGCATGTGGTGGAAGGATGAGGGAGCCTGTGACACCAACTGAGGCAGGCCCTTGAGCTCTGCGTTCAAACCCAGATCCTACTGAGCTCCACTGTGACCTTGGGCAACTCCAGACACCTTTTTCAAAGCTCCAGCAGGGAAAAAACAAAGCAAAACAAAACAAAACAAAATAGGGCAACTGTTAGGTCCTATGGAATTCCCCATTGTGTAGGGGGAGGGGGCGGACCAGAGCAGGGAGATTACAGGAGAAATTCCTCCCCTGAAGTGGTACATCCACTTTAATGAGAAAGCCCATTAAGACACTTGATTTTTCCATTTGTTTAAGCAAGATGGGTGCTTGCTGTGGTGCAGAGGGAACGTAGGATAAGGCACCAAGCCACACAAGCAGCAGCAGCAGCAGCAGCAGCAGCAGGGCAGACACTCGGAAAACTCCCATTTTAATTGCTCCTTTAAAAGACTGATCAAGCGCTCTGGGCTCCTTCTCAACCATCCCAGCCAGAGGCCTGGGAAGGGCTGGATGGGGTGGGGCGGGGTGGGG